ACCCGTAAGTCGGGTCTTCGGGTTGGGTTGGTGTGGTCCGGTAGGCAGTCCTTGACCTCAGGACTCGGGGCAGCAAGATCTTCCTGTCGGATGTGCCTGCTGCTCAGAGGCCACCTGCGCGCGCCCGTTCTCCGCCGATTCTCGGCGGCCCAAGCATTAAGTCGGGCATGTCCTCCTACCCGCGGATCTTGGACGAAAAATCAGGTCCTACGATTCCTCCTACACCTGTCCGCCTACAATTCCTCCCACATGAATCTGGGCATGTCCTCCTACAATTGTCAAACAAAAATTCCACCATGATCAAAGAATACTCAAACCATCGTCCCCATACTATTGTTCCTAGTCCTGAGTATTCCTCCTGCAGGGGGACAGGCCAGACTTAATCCAAGCATCCTTCCCCCTCCCCTCCTCCTCCGCGGCCGTTTTGTCGCCAGGCACGCCGCGCACAGGTTGCACGGCGCCAGTCCGCCCGAGAGACCTCTCCCTCCTGCCTCCTCCCTCGTCCTTCCTTCTCTCCCCTCCTGTCCCCTACCTCCTCCCCCTCCCTTTTCCCCCTCCTCCTCTTCCTCCTCCTCCTCCTCCTCCTCCTCCTCCTCCTCTTCCTCCTCCCCCTCCTCCTCCTTTTCAACACCTTCATGCTCTAGTGTTGCTGTCGTTGCGGGTACTCTGCCAGTTCGATGATCAGAGGACTTGGGCACGAGTGCCTCAAAACTACGATTTCCAATCGAGCAGAAAATCCATACATAGTCAATGCTGGGCAATGGCTCAAGGTTCGGAGTCGGGCTTAGCTCGCTCGTCGGGACTGTTAGTTTCTTCGGATTCGCTTCGCAACCGGTCTCGCTCACTCACTCATTCGCTCGCTCGCTCGCTCACTCACTCATTCACTCACTCACTCACTCGCCCTCCTCCCTCTCCCTTCCTCCTCTCCCCTCCTCTTCGCTTCCCTCCCCTACTCTTCCCACAGTTTGCCTCCCGCCCTTTCCCCTCTCCTGGGCCACTGGCTGGCCAGTGTGCGAGTGGGCCCGTCGGGGTCCGCTTGCCCCGACGTCTCAGGCGGGAGAGCTCTCGAGCCTTTGCGGCCACGCGGGTGAACCTCGACGGGCTGGCCACTCTCTTCTGATTGCGCCTCTGTGGTCTCAGTGCGTCAGGTCCGTGTGGTGCCGTGTCGACGCGGCGGCGACCCCGCCGCGGAGGTTTAAGGTCGAACGCCGCCGTTGGCCCAGGATCGGCCAGTATGAGAGGATCGAACGATCGGAAAGTCGCCCGATCGTTCCAGGTGGAGCGATCCACGCGGTGTCAGAAGCCAACGCCAGGGTCGTCACGACACGAACCCGCCGCATGCCTTCCTGTCTCAAGGCACGAGCCCGCCTGATGTGGAGGATTCGACGGGATTCTCACGAGCCACGTCTTTTTTGGCTGGCCCTCTGCGACGGCTCGATGAGCGCACGGGCGCACGCGTCCGCCTGCTGCCTTCCCCGCGTCTCGTGCTCCATGGCCCCCCAGAGGCGCTCGGGACGGCTGAAGAGAACCGGCCGGGAGTGCCAGGGCCCTCCCCCTCCCCCACCTCGTCCTTCTTATCCTCCCGGGGAGGAGAGGGAGGACGAGAAGGACGAGGTGGGGAGGAGGGGAGGATAGGAAGGACGAGGTGGGGGGAGGCTGCGTCCCCCTCCCCCACCTCGTGGGGGAGGAGAGGGAGGATAAGAAGGACGAGGTGGGGGCACGGGCCTCGCGCGGGCTCGACACCGGAGGGCTCCTCGGGAGCGAGGCCCACACCCGGGAGGCATCCTTGCCGAGGCCGCAGCGCTGGACGAGGTCCGGACATCGCGGAGCAAGCAGACGGGGAGGGGGGCGCAGCGCCAATCCAAGAAATCCGCGCGGACTTGCCAGAAGTTGAGGTCGTGCCGTTGTTCTGTTCCTCTGTTTCAGAAGGCGGTGCAATGTTTGCGCAGATGTGGCGGCCAAGAAAGGGGCCTTGAGTCACCCCTTGGCTGGCCCGCTGACCCCGCCGCTTTATGCCAGATCGACCGCCCGATTCGTACGGCGAGGTCGAAATCGGCTCTGGAAGGGGCTCCGAACCAGCTTTATCTCGCGTTACCTCGGAATCGCTCCCAGAGAGACTCCAAACGGCCCCGTAGAGACCCGGGAGAGCATCACCACGGCCCCAGAGAGCCCCCGAAGGTCCTCCAGGGGACCCGTAAGAATCCCCCAGGATTCCCCCAAGAGCCGCCCAGAGGCCCCCAAGGGCGCCCGAAGAGGCCCCGGGATTGCCCAACAGAGCCCCAAGACAGTCCAAGAGAACACCAGGACATCCCAAGAGATCTCCCACGCACCCTCGAGACGCTCCCGGACAGTCCTAGAGGGTCACAGAAGCCTCCAAAAGGCTCCCCAAATGCTCCCACAGAGGGCCCCACAAAGACTTGACGGCTCACGAGATTCCTCATATGCTTTGAGCGGGGAGGGCCCGCTTTGTTCCTCCTCGTACGTGTCCTTTTTCATCTGTTCCTCCTCGTCCTCGTGCTTGTCTTCTTACTCGTTGTCCTCTTGCTCCCCTCGCTGCCCTCCCTGTCATCCGCGCTGTCGTCCTCGTAATCCACCGCCTTGTCGTCGCCATCACCCTTCTCCTCCTTTCCCCCCCACGAGCACTCTGGACAGAATCGGCGCTTCCCGTTCTTGCCCGATCAGGTTTGTGTGTCCCCGGGCTACTTCGGGTAAAAGCTAAGCCTTGGGAAGGGGATTGTCCAGATCTTTTGGAGGTGCGAAGAAAGCGAAAGCACGACGCCCGATGACTGAAGAGCAAGGAGGATGATGAAGGGAAGGAGGAGGAGGAGGAGGAGGAGGAGGAGGAGGAGGAGGAAGGGGAAGAAGGGAGGAGGAGGAGGAGGAGGAGGAGGAGGAGGAGGAGGAGGAGGAGGAGGAGTACGCAGGAGGAAGGAGGGAGGCACCCGTGCGAACGGGAAGCCGACTCGGGTGAGTTGGTCCGAATGCGCTTCGAAGGGGGTCTCGAGAAGAACTTTCTGAGGGCTCCTCCCTCCGCCGGGGTCTTTTCAAGAAAGCGGGCGCCACACGGGTCCCCCTCGCATGAGTCAGTCCCAATCCCCACTCTCTCCTCCTTCTGCCCCCTCTCTTCTTTCCCTCCTCCCTCACTCATCCCTCCCCTCTCCCTCCCCCTCCTTCCCTTCCCTTCCCCCGCTCTCTCCTTCGTCCCTCATCCCTCCTCTCTCCCTCTCCCCTCCCTGTACCTCCTCCCTCCCTCCTCTCTTCCACTCGGCGCTCTCTCGAGTCTCACCGTCCCTGCTCGGCTGCCGCGCCCGCACGACCAGGCGGCCAGGCGTGGCCCGCGCGGTGCCGCCGGCACGAGCAGCTTCGGCGAAAAAATCTCTGGCTTTTGTGGGGGCGGGCGGTGACCTCGCTTTGAAGAGAGATCCCAGCGACGCGTCCTCCTCCTCCTCCTCCTCCTCCTCCTCCTCCTCCTCCTCCTCCTCCTCCTCCTCCTTCCGTCACTCCTTTTACTTTGGCACCCCCCTCACACGTTTTGTGGCCCCATAGGGAGCTCCACCGAAGGCCCAGATGCCAGCGCTCGCATGCGCCCATCGCACCCATTTCGGCACATTCCTCACACGTTTCGTGGCCCTATAGGGAGCTCCACCGAAGGCCCAGATGCCAGCGCCCATCGCACCCATCTTGGCACAACCCTCAAACGTTTCGCGGCCCCATAGGGAGATCCACCGAAAGCGTTGCATACAACGACGGTGCAAACAACTGCACATGGTTGGGCCAACAACTGCATCCTCCCTCCTCCTCCTCCTCCTCCTCCTCCTCCTCCTCCTCCTCCTCCTCCTCCTCCTCCTCCTCCTCCCCCCTCCTCCTCTTCCTCCTCCTCCTCATCCTCCTCCTAGTCGGCGCCGTCAGCTCGAGCAGAGCAACCGACCTGCGAAAGAGAGGTCTCCGACCTTTTTGAAGCGGGGACCACCCAGCCCCGCAAGCCCTGGGGGAAGGGTGGAGGGTCCCAGGCGCACAGCTCCATTCCAGTACTCCAACCGATGTAGCAACGTGTGCCACATACGGTAGGTTCGGGCGCCATGTGCAGTGCACGGACCGGTGGGTTTATAGTCTCGCAGGCCCAGAGGTGGACACCAACACCAGCCTCAGCGGTGTGCCTCCACCGAGGGAGGAGGATCCCGATCTCGGTGATGATGGTAATGTTCTGACTTCCAAGGTGACCGAAATATTGCCACCAACACCGAAATCTAGGACCACCTTACCCCTGTGGAGGCAGCCCCTATGTTGGTGTTGGTGCCCATTTCCAGGTCTCCAATGCTCTTCATGCTGGCTTGGGGAGAAACATATGTTCTTGACCGTTGTAAAGAGTTGACCACGGAGGCGAAGAGGACGTCCACTGTGAGGGCGCGCCGACGAGCAGCACCTGCGCACGTAAGAAGGACCACATTGCAAACACGGTAATGAACATGTTGCTATTCTTCCATCGGTTGGATTGGGAAACGTGCCAAAATCACAGCAGAGTGCCGTGGAGGGCAAAGAAGAGGCGGAAACATAGGCGAGCCGCACAGGGGATGTTTACTTCGCCCCACATATCGCAAGAGAGCAGTTTCGTGCCCCTCCTCCTCATCCTCTTCGATCCCTTTTCCCTTCCCCGCCCCCACTCCCCGTTCATCCTCGATCCTCCTCCTCCTCCTCCTTCTCCTCCTCCTCCTCCCCATTTCCCTCCCCCTCCCCTATCCCCCTTCTTGCTCCATTCCCCTCCTTCCATCCCTCCCCCTTTCCCTCTCTCAAGCATCTTGGGTTCATACCATTTTGGCACCTGCGCCCCTCCTCCGCAGTTCCACGCAGTGCTTGGGGGACTGTGTCTCGGATCCTGCCATCTTTCCGAGACGCCGACAAAGACGGAGGCATCAACACATACGATGGCGGGGAAGCCGATGTGGACCCGCTGCTCTTCCTGTCGCGCGTGTGAATGGAGTACGGTTGTTGTCCCGAATAAGATGAAGTGTGCCCGCTGCCAGGCCGCGGCGACGGTCTTCAAACCGAAAGTGAGGTTCGCGAGGGACGAGGGTGACGAGTTGGATGATTGCCACGAGGAATGGCAGAAGCAGAGCGGTGACACCCACAGGCCCCGCAGTGTGTTCCCATTTGGCTGCAAAGGAGCAAGAAGACGGGGGGTGGCAATGGCGGCAGCACCAGCAAGGGCGTCATGGACCTCTTGATGCAGGCGCTCGAGGCCACTCAGGAAACCACCCTCCAGGCCACCTTCACCAAGCAGATCACGAGGCTGGGAGAAGAGGCTTCGGAGGCGAGCCCTTTGTCCCCTGTCGAGGCTCTACGCAAGGCCAACGGCAACTCCAGGAACATCGAGCACATGCATGACCAAGCAGAACAATCAGTCCCACGACTTCGCTCAAACTTGGCAGCAGCAGCAGAGTTGAAGGAACCGAACCTGGCCCGCTTGCTGGTTGACGCGGACGACGCTCGCAAGGCAGTCACGCGGGCTCTCGCCATCGCAGAGGGAGACGGCGGCAGGACGGATGAGGAGGACAATAATTACGAGCGCTTCAAGCTTAAGCCGGACAAGAGTTTGCACGACCAGGTATCCCAGACTGACATCACCCCCCCAAGGAGGACAAGGTCATCAAGGCCTCGAAGGCAGAGCTCGGCATGGTTCGCCCCACTTCGCCAGCAAAGATAAGGAGGTCTCGGACTGAATGGAGCGCACGAAGGCCATCAAGCAGAAGCTGCTGGACTGGATGGCCAAGAAACACAAGACCCAGGAGGGCGCAGTCGAGGGCGGCAGTATGGCAGCTGCAGAAGGGGAAGCTCAGCGTCCTCGCCAGCGGCTGCAACGCCACCCACGGCCGACGAGACGCAGGCAGCAAGGGGGAAGGGGCGCCGCCGCCTGACCGAAGAGGCGAACTGGCTTTCCCAGGTCAAGTTCGCGGCCGCCCAGGCCGCCGCCGAGGCCAAGGGCACGGGCAACGCAGCGATCGCCGCTGCCCCCGCACCCCGACGGCCACCCTCGCCTCCCCCATCGGCAACACGTGCGACCCATTTGCAGAAAGAGGAGGAGGAAGCTGCCGTGACGTCCATGTTCTTCGCGAGCGACACGGTTCTGTTTGGGAAGCACGTGCGAGCGGATTCAAAAAGACATCACATTTCTGGGGCGTCGTGGGGAACCATATGCATGGCGAAGGTGAGCTCCGACATTGGGTTAAGGCTGCGCGGGCCGCTCGGCTGCGATTCTTTCGTGATCCAGCAAGCACTGCGAGCTGGGCGCGCAGTCACGGAAGAAGGAGATCTTCTTTGCCCAGCGAGGGGCGCGAGCTGTTCACGGGCCAGCTGCGCTTCCAGACGCACCAGCTTCGAGACACCGTGGTCGCGGCGGACCATCTGTCGGAGCCGCGCCAGTCTTCGCTCGGCGGGTTCGCGGCAGTAGTGATCCACGTGGCGGGGTGCACTCCGTGGTCGTCGTCGCTCTGCGCGCCCTGCGCTCGATCGGGGTGCGCGACGCGAGCAGGCGCCAATTTCAGTGGATAGGTGGCCTTTTGGCTGCAGCGAGCCCCCATTAATTTTTCATCGGCGACTTCGACATGGCACCGGCCGATCTCTTAGCCTCGCACGTTGCACAGAGGCTCGGCGCACTCGCCTGCGCTGCCGGGGCAGCGTTGGCGCGTGTGCGCAGGGGGAAGGGGCCAGCGCATTGTTAGATTGCCTTTTGGTCGGCCCGCAAGCCACCTCTCTTGTTTGCAGTGCTTTTATTGCGCATGGCGCCCCGTGGCGACCGCGCGCGGGTCTCTGCGCGAGGCTCAGAAGTCTTGGATCGCAGCTCTTCGCTCGCGCGATTGAGGCCCCCCCCGGCCCCCCAGGCCCCGCGCGGGGCCCAATCTGCTCCGAGAGTAGCATCGCCAAGGCCAGACAGGACCTCGAGCGCAGAGCGGTCGCCGAGGCGAGAGCCCTTCGACCCCGCGATTTTTCGGGGGAGCGCAAGCGGTCGAAAGCGCCCCAGACGATGGGGGCGTGACCAGGGCCCCTCCCCCAGCGCCTGATCCAGTTCACGAATTGGAGGACTGGCCAGGCGAGCCAGATCCGCGGGTCATCGAGACGGATTTTCGAACGGCGCGCCCGCCCACCCCCTCAGCCCCCCCCCTCAGCCGCCGCGCGAGCATGACGAGAGCTTGGGCGGTAGCGGTTGCGCTGGCGCCTCGCGGGCCCTGTCGGTAGGTCTGGCGCGTCTGTTGGGCCCGGCCCCGATTCGAGCCCCCCCCCCGATGCTGATCCACAGTGGCGGACTGCCAGTCTGCCAAGATCCACCTCGCGTCGATTGCGTTCTTCAAGGATCCTGATGGAGGGTATAGGCCAATAGGATGGCCAGCAATTTGCATTCGCATCTCGGGAAGGGTTATGAGGGGGGAGGTTTCGCGATGGGAGAGGCGTCATACCATGTCATGCGCGCGCGGAGCTACAGGCACGATTTGCCAGCTTGCGGTTTGGCAGCAGGCAGCCATCCTGGAAGCGGCCGCTTCGACTGGTGCACGCTCGGGCTCTGGCTTGGTCGGCTTAGAGACAAAGTATGATGAGATCTGTCATGGCGCTCTGTGGTCGGGCATGTCAGGGATGCAAACCTCAGAAGGGCCCCATCTCCTGCTCAGAGTCCGCGTGGGGGGCCCTAGGAGGCCGAAGGTTCGATGGGGTAACATCTAGCGTCGCCGTCACCACTCGCTCGATTATTGCTGTTTGCTCGCTTGCCTCGACCATGCTCTGAGTGGTTGTTCAGAGCGCCTTAGAGTACGTGCAAGTGCGTTGGCCGCCCCGTATTATGCATGTCTTGGTCGATGACATTACCTCGGCTGCTCTAGGGTCTAGGCGACGAGTCATGGCTGTTCTGGCCTAGGCAATTCCAGACTTGTGCAGGCAGTTAGAGAAACCTGACATGGTGGTTCCAAATAAGAAATGCCTGGTCATGACATCCTGACAGGGAAGCTCGGTCGGGATTTGCGCGCGCGTCGTTTTCTTGATTCAGCGTGAAGAACCTAGGTCGCGATTCAGTCGGCAATTCAGGAAAGGCAAGAAGGTTCCCCAGGAGGGGGGGGGGGGGGCGGGCAGTAATCTTGGGCGACGCGCGCATCGGTTCAGAGCTTTACGCCACCATAGCGAAGGATTACATTTGGTAAATCGGACGGGGGGGATTGCAGCAGCTATGTATGGGGTGAGGGTTATGGGAATGACGGACAGTGATTTGAAGGATCCCAGGGCCTTTCCGCTGTCGCCCTGTTCGGCACTACTAAAGGTCGTCCCCGAGCTGCGCTATTCCTTCTCGCTGATCTAGCGGACCTAGATCTAGCGCGCGTCGTGCATGCGCTGCCGCTGACCACTTGGCTGCAAGCGACGCATCATAAGTGGATGCTGGAGAATTTGATGGCCCCTTTTTCTCGGCGGGCTGAGAGAAAGAGAGAGAGAGAGAGATTGTTAGAGGGAGAGAGAGAGAGAGAGAGACAATCAAAAACACATAGCAACTATATATATATATGTACATAAACATACATATATATATAGAGAGAGAGAGAGAGAGCAGAGAGAGAGAGAGAAAACAAATATAGAGATATAAGGAGAGAAAGGGAGATAGAGAGAGAGAGAGAGAGAGAAAGAGAGAAAGAGAGAGGAGGAGGCTGGTCAGGCATCACTGTCCCAGCGGGCGCGGTAGTTCAGACGTTACGTCGGCTAGGCTGGAAGGCCAGCTCGTTTTCTCAGCGGCAAGACCTCCCGGGGGCCCCAGGTCGACCTCAGTGCGACGATTACGCCGGACATGCAGGTGGTAGCACATCGAGGAGCGAGGAGACAGCAGGAATTAGCAGCAGCAGCACATCACGGATGGCAAGGTCGCGATTTCCTGGACCTTGCGACAGCTGAGTTCGGGCAGCTTCGTTGCCGGGGTGATTTTGCACAGGCAGATGTGGTCAGTGTCCATCTAGCGGGGGGCCTTTGGACTCAAGGCAAGATTTCCCAGGGGCGGTCTTCCTCCCGCAGGGGTTGCAATTGGTGCCGAGGCGGCCCGGGAACGATTTCTCATCTGTTGCATTATTGCGACGGGCTCGAGTGCTGGAGGCGCGAGCAGGGCTTCTACGGGCTGATCAGCGCTAGTCGAGACAGCCCAGGCGCGGTTCTCACCATTTTCGGCGCGGTGGACAGCCATCGAGATGCGATGCCTCCGCCGCTCCGGGCCAGCGCGTGTCAGACGAGGTGGTAACCCCCCAGAGGTAGGCTCCCCCAGATCATCATCATCGACGCTTCGGGGTTGAATCCAGACGTAAAGTGGTTCGCAAGGGCAGGCTGGTCGGCGCTTTCGATTCGTCCAGGGGCGAGTGAGATCACAGCAGCAGCAGCGGGCCATTGCGCCCTTTTCAGCGAGGCGCGAGGCGACATCATTTGCTCTTTTGCGTCGAGAAGGGGCCGATGGTAATGCGCGACCCTGCTCAGCCCAACGGGGGAATCTGGAGGCAGATTTTCTGGAAACTGGAGGACATAAGAAGGGACCTTGTTGAGATTCATTGGATGCCCCTCATCACTCTAGGAGTTGGCACCTGACAAATGGTTTTCCTGGAAATTGGTTTCTCGGGACAGGAGCGACTGACAAGTGCGCTGCGAAAGGAGCTATGGGTCACCCCTCTGTGGCCCACGCAGAACAATGTGTAGCGGCAGCGGAGAATATAGGTAGACAGGTCGTTCGGCTTTCAAGAGGTACCCCCAAGAGGCTCAGTTAATCAAGCTTTCCTGACGTACAGCCGTTCCAGCCGTGTTGCCGCTTAGGATCGACCCAAGTTACAAACAACATCTTAGGCAGCGTGGCAAGAGCGCACAGAAGCGTAGCGCTGTTGTCCAGCAGTGTTGTCCAGGAGTGTTGCCCAGGAATCCCGAGGGTCTTGGCTGAGGCGCGTGAGACTCACAGGATGTGGCGCCTGAGCGTTTCGGATTTGTTTTATTGTGCTGCGTGTGGGCGCCACGCGAGGCGACCGGTCAAGGGCTTGGCCACGCGATGCGCCCCCCCCCTCAGCGAAGCGGGGACGAGGGCACGCAAACTACTCCGCAAAGGGGTGGGCCCGACCAGCAAGAAGGAGGTCGGGGTCCCATTCCCCGTGCATTGATTTTGATTTTCTTGTCAGTAGATTATCTTTCGCTGAGGGGTACACTTGTCAGGGGCTCCAGAGGAGGCGAAGGAAGAGGAGGAGGAGGAGGAGGAGCAGGAGCAGGAGGAGGACAAGGAGCAGGAGGAGGAGGAGGAGGAGGAGGAGGAGGAGGAGCTGGGGCTGAACAAATGGAGGACGAAGCGAAGGACTGGCGCTGCCGCCGCGGGCGGCCGCGGCAGCGCGCGCGCGCGAGCGCCCGCGCAGGCATCAGGCGCGCTTGACCGCGCTGCTGGACGGCGTGGGCCCGGCCAGGCGCGCTGCCGCCGGCAGGTCGTCGTCCTCGTCCTTGGCACTCGTCCTCCTCGTCCCCAAACTCCTCGTCCTCCTCGTCTTCGTCCTCGTCTTCGTCCTCGTCTTCGTCCTCGTCGTCGTCGTCGTCGTCGTCGTCGTCGTCGTCGTCTTCGGCGGCGGCGGCGGCGTCGGCTTCAGCGTCGGCGTCGTCGTCGGCGTCGTCGTCGGCGTTGTCGTCGTCGTCGTCGTCGTCGTCGTCGGCGGCGGCGTCGGCGTCGGCGTCGGCGTCGGCGTCGGCGTCGTCGGCGTCGGCGTCGGCGTCGGCGTCGGCGTCGGCGTCGGTGTCGGCGTCGGAGTCGTCGTCGCCCCTACAGGGATAATTTCGATTCCTCCGATGATATCGACGGATGTCGATTTTCCGAATCGATTCGACCTCGATTCCTATGCGGGCTCCGATTTCTCAAAGGAGGCCTGTCTGTTAGCCTGCCGAGTTCCGCCGATTCGGCTTCTCCCGACTCGGCTGCCGATCTCCGTCGATCCGACTCATTTCGATCGCCGATCCGACTTATCGACTTGATTCTGGGCCCTCCTGCCCCGTCCCCGTCCCCATCCCTACCCAGACCCCCACCATCTCAGCACCCCAGTTGGGGATACCCTTCGAAACCCGAAGGAAACGGCCCATATCCCCATCTCGGGGAGCAAATTGGACAGTGGAGCCCAGGCCACGCCCAAGGGGATCGGAGTCGGATAAACGATGCTCAGTTGTCGGCGTCGTCGTTCGTTCGTTCATTCGTTCTCTGGCCTCCCTCCTCCGCCCTCTCTCTGTCTTTCGTAGGGGCTTGATTAGGTCAGCAAGCTGACAGCCGCATGCCTTTGGCAACCAAGCGCGCCAAGTGCTTCTCCTCGCTTCGCGATTGATGTTGATAACCTGTCTGATGGCTCGGACTAACCCCAAGGGGGGATTCCTGCAGGCAGCGGGAACGCGGGGTGAGAGCATCTCCCACTCCGCTAGGGCACCGTCGCGGAAACGGAGTATGAGGTTCATCTCCCGCTTCGCCTCCCATCAGCGAGGTCTTTGCCTCGTCAGCGGCGGGATCGCGGTCTCCCACGCCGCTTTCGCTCGGGCGGGGGCGGGGGATGAGAACATCTCCCGCTCTGCCACCCTTATTTCGGTGGCGAGCGAGAGGGGGAAGTGAGAAGGAGGAGGCCTTCTCAGAAGGTGGCGGGACGTTCAGAAGCCATCCAGCCTGAGAAGTTGTCCTGTGTCTTCGGGGAAGGCTTATATGTCAGAAGGTTGGGGGACTTCCGAGCCTTCTGAGAAAGCCTGCCCCTCCTCACTTCCCCCCCCTTGCTCGCCATCGATGTTTTTTCTCATTGTTCTGCGCGTGAGACCTCCCGAGGCTGCCTTGATGTCTG